ATGAATTTACCAAAAAATGTGCAAAACTTACATGAGAGAAACATTTAAATACTCCTAAAAGATACAAAAGTAGACTTGAATAAATGACAAGACATTTATTGTTCTTCGATAGGAAAACTCCACATTTCAAGATATCAATTCTCTCTAATTAATTAAAAAATTTAATGCAACCACAATATAATAACACAAAGTATGATTTTTTAATGGTTCTTGACATATTTATCAACTTTACTGAAGTATAAGTGTACATCATTGATTGAAGTATAATTGAAATGCACTATACTCCAAATATGCAAAATGTACAATTTGATTAGTTTTGACACATGTATACATCTGCAAAATTATCACCACTCTTAAGATAACAAACATTTCTTTCGCTGTCAAGTGGTCTTTTGACCTCTGTTCTCAGGCAACAACTGATTGGCATCTTGTTACTGTAGATTGCTGGCATTTTCTATAATTTCATGTAAGTGGAATCATACAGTATGTATTTATTTCTACCTTGCTCTTCTGCACTCAAAATAATGATTTAGAGATTCACCCAGTGTTCACTTTGACAGCACATATATCAAAATTGGAATGATACAGAGAAGATTATCATGGCCTCTGTGCAAGTTTGGCGTGCAAATTCACGAAGTGAATTTATGGAACACGAAGTGTTCCATATTTTTACAAAAGGTGATGGATGGAAATTAGACTTGTGGTAGTGAACATGACTCAGTCTATACAGAAGCTGAAATATAATGATGTGCACCTGAAATTTACATAATATTATAAATCAATGTGACCTCAGTAAAACAAATAAATAAGAAATTCATCCATGCATGTACCCTCAGGTCACTCATTTTTATTGCTGAGTTGTATTCCATTGTATGGATATACCACAATCATTAAAAAGACAATATATCATGTAAAAGTGAAATTTAGTCCAGATATTCAAGATTGATTTAACACTTGATAATCAATATATATGATTAATGATATTTAAAAAATGTACAAATAAAAATCATATTATATTTTCAATAGTTTTAGAAAAAGCTTTGACAAAATCCAACAGCTATTTTCTGACAAGCAAAACAGGAATAAAAGAAAAATTCCTCAACCTGACAAAGGACATCTATGAATAACCTACAGCTAACATCATACTTACTTGTATAAGACTGAATGATTTTCTCCTAAGATCAGTAATAAGGCAACGACGTCTGCTCTCATCACTTCTATTCAATATTTTACTGAAAGTTCCAGGCATTTCACTAAATAAGAAAAACACATAAAAGACATCAACATTGAAAAGGAAGAAGTAAAATTGTAGAAAGATCTAATGAGATCCTCAAAACAGCTACTCTAACTAGTATGTGTATTCAGCAAGGTTGCAGGGTAAAATACCAATATACAAAAATCAGTTGCATTTCTACATTAACAGTTTGCAATCAGAAATTGAAATTAAAAAAAACTACTTAATATAGCATCAAACAAGTAGGAAATACTTAGGGTTAAATCTGACAACAAATGTGCAAAACTTCTACACTGAACACTGCAAAATATTGCTAAGAGAACACTTAAATATATGGTATTGTATACCATGTTCCTGGGCTGATAATCTCAGATTTAGGATGGCAATACTCCTTAAATTGGTCTTTATATTCAATATATCCCCCCAAAAGTATCATACACTTTGTGTGTGTGTAAAAATTGACATCTTGATTATAAAATTTGTGTAGATATACAAAAGAATATGCTAAATAACCATAGCAACATTGAAAATAAACAAAGTTAGAGAATTAACACTACTTAATATCAAGACTAATTATAAAGTTACTGTAATAAAGACAGTGTGATATTGGCATCAAGATTAACAAGTAAACAAATGGAATAGAATAGAAAGTCCAGAAATAGACCCACATGTATATGGACAGCTGATTTTTGACAACAGTGCAAAGGCAACTCAGTGGCCAAAGAAAAAAAAGTCTTTTAAACAAATAGTGTTGAAAAAATTGTGTGTAAATGTGCAAAAAAATGAACTTTGATACATATCTCATACCATATACACAATGGATCATAGACCTAAATGTAAAACCTTAACCTGTGAAACCTCTAGAAGAAAACATTCAAGAGAATTTTTGTGACCTTGGTTTAGGCAAAGCTGTCTTAGATTTAACAATGAAGGCATGATCCACAAAAGAAAATACACAGAGAGTAGAATGGTAGTTGCCAGGGGTTGAGGGGTGGGGGAAATGGGGACATGTTGATCAAAGTTTAGAAACTTTCAGTTATAAGATAAATAAGTTACAAGGACCTAATGTACAGCATGGTGATGATAGTTAATAATACTGTATTGTATACTTGAAAGTTGCTATGAGAGTAGAGCTTTAATGTTCTCACCATAATAACAACCACGGTAAGGTTGTTATGTGAGGTAAAGAATGTGTTAACTAATCTTATTTTGGTAAACATTCCACAATATATACATGTATCAAATCATCACATTGTATACCTTAAACTTACACTTTGTTATATATATATATCAATTATATCTCAATAAAGATGGGGGAAAAAAGAACATATATTGATAAATTGGACTTCATTAAAGTAAAAACTCCTATGGGACCGGCCCTGTGGTGTAGTGGTTAAGTTTGGCATGCTCTGCTTTGGTGGCCTGGGTTCAGGGGTTCAGATCCCGGGCGTGGACATACATCACTCATCAGCCATGCTGTGATGGTGACCCACATATAAAATAGAGGAAGAGTGGCACAGATGTTAGCTTTTTCTTTGTTATTGACTTATGACAGTTTTATTACCATATGTCTTGGAGAAGTTCTTTTTGTGTTGAGATAACTGGGTGTTCTATTAGCTTCATGAATTTTATATATCTATTTCCTTCCCCACATTTGGGAAGTTCTCAGCTATTATTTCTTTAAAAAGGCTCTCTTCTCCTTTTTCTCTCTTTTTCTTTCTGGGATACTAATTGTCCTTATGTTGCCCTTTCTGGTGGAGTTGAATAATTCTCATAGAATTTCTACGTTTTTTAAAAATTTTAGTTCTCTCTCCTCTTCTACCTGCATCATTTCTAGATTTCTATCTTTGAGCTTACCAATTCTCTCTTTCGTACTGTCTGCTCTATCCAATGCTTTCTAATGCATTCTTCATCTCAATTATTGAACTCTTTGGCTCCAGAATTTCTGTTTGGTTTCTTTTTAGAGTTTCAATCTCTTTGGTAAAGTATTCTTTCTGATAATTGATTTTTTTCCTGGGCTCATTGAACTGCCATCCTTAGTTTTCTTGTAGCTCATTGAGTTTCTTCATGATAGCTATTTTGAATTCCTTATCAGTTAGATTGTAATCTTCCATGACTATGTATTTGGTTTCTGGAGAATTTTTATTTTCTTTTTGTGATACCGTATTACCATGGCTTTTCATGGTTCTTGCTGAGTTATTTCTCTTCCAGCATATTTGTTGTAGCAAACACTTTTCTTATTTAGTTATGGCTTAGTTTGTTTTGATAGAAACCGTTCAACCTGTTGGAGATTAGGGGCTTTTCTTTTGTTTTTCAGTAGATGGCACCATAGTGCTTGTTTTTGGTTTTTCCTACCTGTGCTCCTCTGGCTATATTTGAGCATCTGCACACTCCATCTTCCACTGCCTCTATTAGGAGTGTCGCTGGTACTGTCACTGTCACTGCCTCCACCTCTAGGGGTCACTGATACCTTGCTGTTGCTGATGTCACTACAGTCACTGGCTTTGCCACCAGGGGTCAGGGATGGCTGACATCTCCATTGCATCTGGAATTATCTGCGTGGAAAGCTCTGTTGCCGTGGAAGGGGAAGGCAGGGTGGGGAGGAGCTGGGTTTGCTGGGCACTGCCTCTGCAGTTGCTTGTTACCTTGTGGCCACAGCCACCATTGCGGTTGGGAGATCAGAGTCTAGTACACACACGCACTGCAGTTACCAGGCTCTGAGTCACGGCCAGGGACAGAGGGTCATGGAGATCCACCACTGCTGCTGCTCTACTCCCTGTGGCCACAGGTGCCATTATGACTGGAAGGCTGGAGTTGCACATGTGCCTCTGTTGCTGTCCACCAGGTTCTCTGGGGCAAAGGCTAGCTGGCTCAGCTGCTGTGGTCAGTGGGCCAGAATCCTGGGAACCGCCTCCACTATTTTCCCGTTTCACCTCCTGTATGTGCTGCAATCTGCCCACCTTCCTATGTACTGATCTCTCTGGCATCCTGGTGTGTTGGGCAATGTAGGCTTTGTTGGGGTATGGATATTTTGCTTGCTGTAAGTTGAAGGGGAGAAGCAAAGGGATCCTCTCACACCACCATGATGATGACATCTGAAGCTGAACTTCTGAAGGGCGGAATTGTCAGTTGTCTATGGATTTTGCTAGGATGAAGTGTCCTTTCAGAAAACAGTTTCACTGGCTTACTATGTGCTAGATGTTTTACTATTAATGATCTCTTCATTCATTTTTGTGAAGGTTCATTAATTTAGGAACTATGCTTTTCAGAAGAAAGATATATGACAGAATGAAAAAGGAGAACCTATAAAGAGACCATCAAATCAGCTAAGTACACAATTATTTTTTAACTCACCCCATAATAAAGGGTTAAGATTATTATTTTTTGGTCACAGCCTAGTCTGATACTACCTATCTTGAAGGTTGTGTAGTTACTTGTGTGAGGCAGAAGGAGGTGAATGTCATTGCAGCCTACCTCAAGGAAAAAATATTCTACTCCAATTGTTCTCAGTAGAGAACGAAGAAGGACGATGAAAATTCACTTGAGAGGAATTTTTCAAAATAAACCCCATCAAAATTTATCAAGGACCCACTGAATCATGACATCATGTGATAGTTTGCTTAAGTGTGTGCTTGCACAAACTTCAGTAAAAGCAATGACATCTAGCAGCTATGATAGAGGGAATGAGAATGAACTGTTACTTTTGAAAAACAGAAAGCAAAGACAGTTTTAAGAAAAAGAAAGGAGCACACTATTACCACGACCTTTAGTGATTCTGACTACTAGTCTGGAGTGGTCCATACCTCTTCCCCCTGACTTCTCTCAGCACATTCTTTCCAACTTTATTTCTCAAGCTATAGATCAAAGGGTTCAGTTTGGGGATCACTGAGGTGTAAAATACAGAGGCTACCTTCTCCCGGGCCATGTTGCTGCTGCTGGATGTCGACTTAAAATACATAAATATGATGGATCCATAAAAGACCCCAATAGCTGTAAAATAAGAGCCCCAGGTGCTAAAAGCTTTAGATGTGTTCTCAGCTGAAGGTATTTGAAGAATGTTAGCAAGTATGAAGGCATAAGAGATGATGATGGCCGTAGTTGTTGCCAGCAGACTGAATCCATCTACAAATATCACCAGAAGCTCATTTAGGTAGGTTTTGCAGCAGAAGAGCATTAGGAGAAAAAATATGTCATAAAAGTAATGGTGGATGATATTGTCCCCACAGAAGGAAAGCCTGATCATGGAGATCATGTGGGCTACAACTCCAAATGTTGCCATGGTATAGACCCAAGTCCTCAACACACTGCATACATTTTGGGACGTGGTGACATTATAGAACAATCGACTACAGGTAGCTACATATCTATCACATACCATAGCAAACGCCATAAAGCACTCAGCAATAGCAAAAACACGAAAGAAAAAAAGTTGTGTCCTACTTCCAGGACAGCAGATAACATTTTGCTCCCATACAAAGTTTCCCAGGAGTTAGGGGGTAACAATTGAGGACTAACGATCTAGAAATGAGAAATTGCCAAGAAAAAAGTACATGGGAGATTGGATCTGGAATTGAAAGTGATTAGGAGGCTCATACCCAGGTTTCCCAGTACAGAGACCAAAGAGATCCCTAGAAATAGGAGTAAGAGGGGCAGCTTGGGTTCTGATTGGTCTACTAATCTTTTGAGGACAAACTCAGTCAGGGTGAAATAATTGCATGTGGTTGTTTCCTTCAGGAAACAGGGGATATGAAACAAGGAAAAAGAAACATCATAGGAAGTAAGAAAGCTACGTTTCCATGATTGGTAATTGTACTATTACTGTTGTGACAGAAAAAATAAACAATCGATCATTAAATTAAAACAGGTTGTTTGTTTTAAGCTGATGAATTATAATTATATTATAATTTAATTACACTGATGATTATATTTTTCATGTCAGAATCGTATGTAGCCAAAGAGCATCATAAAGCACACAGAAACAAAAAGCCAATACAATGTAATCTTAAAAATTATTGGAGAATATCTGAGTAGGTCAAAACTGTCAATAATTTTTGTACCTTTGAAGATTACATTGGTGTCAGGAACAAACAGGCAATCACCAATTATGGATTGAACCAGGAAAACATCTTACAGAGCTAGAATCCTTGGTACTGGTGACGTGCAGTTTTTATTAAGTATTAAGAAAATAATTTCAGGGGCTGGCCCCATGGCTTAGTGGTTAAGTGTGTGCGCTCTGCTACTGGCGGCCTGGGTTCGGACCCCGGGCACGCACTGACGCACCGCTTGTCAGGCCATGCTGAGGTGGCATCCCACATACAGCAACTAGAAGGATGTGCAACTATGACATACAACTATTTACTCAGGCTTTGGGGAGAAAAAGGGAAAAAAAGGAAGAGGATTGGCAATAGATGTTAGCCCAGGGCCAGTCTTCCTCAGCAAAAGGAGGAGGATTGGCATGGATGTTAGCTCAGGGCTGATCTTCCTCACAAAAAAAAAAAAAAAAAAAAAGAAAGTAATTTCAAGGTGAGTATCGTGTCTTTCATGTGCACTGGGCTGGTATCTACCATGAAATACAGAGTACTCCTTGAGCGGGAACTGGGAGGGAACGCATATCTTAGGATCAAAGTTCATAGTAACAGAGGGGAGCTCAGAGGACTTGATGCTCCAAATTCAAGAAGACTTTAACTTAATTCTTGAGTTCTGTGATTCAAATGAAGGAACACTTTGCTATATATTTTTCTTTCTGGGAAGAGCTTTGGAATATATTGTGGGTACGTCTTAGGAAATCAATGAAATAAAGAGAAAAAGACCTTTTCCTATCGCTCCACCAACAGCACACTCACAGGCACTAGAATACTCTTTTCCTCCAACCTCAGTTGCATTGGGTTACATGATAGCCACATATATTTGGGCCAAACTGTAGTTTCATTGGAATATAAATATGAAATTCTCCCTAAGTAGTTATGCTTCTCAGTGAATGCTTTAGGAAAAAGATGCTCAGAGTTTGTGTACTTACTTGAATGCTGTTAAGAGTTTATGTTTTCACTCTTATAATGTGAGATAAATTCACACAGTTAGCTGCATGGCAGGCATTACCTGTCCAGAGCCTTGTTGATCTTGTTTAGAATGACAACTATTAGAAATGAAGAAGAAATAAGCCCCATTCTTACCATCACTAAAGCCAGGGTCCTACTCCTGCTGTGTCACTAAATTCACTGTGTAATTTTGGGAAAGGCACCTCACCTTTCCTCTTCCACAAAAAGATGGACTTAGGTGGATGACCTCTAAGGTTTATTATAGCTCTAACATTTAGTGACACTGAGTGAGCAATAAAAAGATCCCTCTCCACCCATATATCCTGAGCAGCCCTTCCTGAGAAAGAGAATACTTTGACTGGTTGTTTGCAGGTCTTTGACCTCCAAAGAGATGGATGAATACAGTCTTCTTCCAGGACCACAAGATCTAAAGGAGATTCTCAGAGGTGAAATTCTCCTGAGACGAAGAAAAGCAATGAATAAGTGATATTTGCACACAGAATAACGGCATACACAGAATTTTAGCATTACCAATGTACAAAATGAAAGTTTTGACCTTGCTTTTTGGAAGGAGAAAACTTTTTGCAGATGATGGGAATGAATCCCATGTGGAATGATTATAGGATTATTACAAACAGATATGCAGCAGTTTGGTGAGGTGATTCACTCTCTTCAGTGAGCAGAGGTCCTAACTCTCATCCCTGTGCTCCAAAAACAGAGTATAGTAATGCTTGTTTTTAGATTTTTAACTTTTTAGGTCAAATAAGATCTATTCTCCTGGACTAGTGAATAAACATCCTAGTAACAGAAAGCTGATCCAGAGAGGAAGCCCTCTTAACTATATTAAATTCAGATAGGATCCCTCTTAAATATATTCCCTACAGGTTTTGATGTATTTATATAGGGAGGTTCTCAACAGAGTTTATCAGAGCTTCCTTACTTACTTACAGGGCCCCATCTTACTTAATGTTGAGAAACTAGATGTTTTGTATTGCTAAGGTTAGGAACAAGGCAAGATTATCTGTTCTCTCCACTCTAATTAAACATTGTATGGGTAATTCTAATGCAATAAGACAAGAAAATGAAATAAAAATATGTAAATTGGAGGGAAGAAATAAAACTGTCTCTATTCAGAGATGGCATGATGCTCTATGTTGAAAATTCCAAAAACCAACAAAAGAAATCTTCCTGGATCTAATAAGTGATTATAGCAAAGTTGGAGGATACAAGGTTAATATACAAAAATCAATTTATTTCCTATATTCCAGAAGTAAACAATTGGAATTTGAAATTTAAAACAATAATATCATCACATTATCACCAATAAAAAATGAAATATTTGGTACAAATCTGTCAAAATATGCACAAGATACTTATGAGGAAATCTACAAAACTCTGCTGAAAGAAATCAAACAAAATCTAAATAAATGGAGAGATATTCCATTAATATGTATAGAAGGAGTTAATAGTGTTAAGATGTCAGTTCTTCCCAACTTGATCTGTAGAGGCAATGCAATATCAATCAAAAGTCCATCAAGTTATTTTGTGGATATCTGCAAACTGATTGGAAAGTTCATATGGAAAAGCATAAGACCAAGATAACCAAGTACTATTGAAAGAGAAAAACACAGTCAGAGGACTGATACTACCAGACTTCAAGATTGCTATAAAGCCACAATAATCAACACAGTATGACATTGGTAAAAGAATAAATGAAACAGAATACAGAGCCCTGAAATAAACCCACAAAAATACAGTCAACTGATCTTTGACAAAGAAACAAAGAGAATTCATTGGAGAAAGAATAGTCTTTTCAACTGGATACCCACATGCAAAAAACTGAATATAATAATATATAATTTGCTAAACCAAAAAGGACGAGTCAGCATAAATGGGGCTCATACTGGACAAATTTAGGACAATTTGAACACCAAAATGGATGGCTTATGAGAATCATGAGTCCTTACTGATATAAAAATAATAATGACAATAATAAAATAAAAAAGTAGTAGAAAAGGGAAAGCTCTTTTTTACAGAACAACATCAACTAATAAATGTAAAAGGAATGATAAAATTAGAAACTCATCATGTTGCAATTACCATACTAATAATTGATTTAAGTAAGAATCATCAATGGAAACTAAAATCAGTGGGTTTTCTACAGAGACTCAGAAAGTATCCCACCATTCAGAACGCTTTTTAGAGATTCTTTGACATCCTTGTTCCTAAGGCTATAGATAAAGGGGTTAAGCATGGGAATCATTGTGGTATAAAACACAGAGGCCACCTTCTCCTGCGTTATGTCACTAGCAGATGGTTTAAAATACATAAAGATGATGGAGCCATAGAAGACCCCAACAGCTGCAAGGTGGGAGCTGCAGGTACTGAAAGCTTTGGACCTGCCTTCGGCTGACTGTATGCACAAGATGCTGGAAAGGATGAGGATGTAAGAGATGAAGATGGCCAAAGCACACGCAAATACATTGAATCCAACCAAAATCACCACCAGAAGTTCCTTTGTGTAGTCTCTTGAGCAAGATATATTCAGAAATGGAAGGATGTCACAGAAGTAGTGGTGAATGACATTGGTTCCACAGAAAGAGCGACTAGATATGTAGCTGGTGTGAACCAAGGCTCCAATGGCCCCCACTATATACACACTCATGACCAGTAGAAAACAGACTCTGTGGGACATGATGACATTGTAGAGCAAGGGGTTACAGATGGCAGCATAACGATCATACGCCATGGCTGTCAGCACGTAGGAGTCGTCAATACCAAAGAAGCAGAAGAAAAAGAGCTGTGCCATGCAGTCGGGAAAAGAGGTGAAATTCCTCTCTGTGATGAAGTTCACCAACATCTTGGGAATTATGACAGAGGAGAAGCAGAGATCTATGAAGGACAAATTACTGAGGAAATAATACATGGGCGTGTGAAGCTGAGAACTGATCCTGATTAAAAAGACCAAGCCCAAGTTTCCCACCATAGAGACCATGTAGATCAATAGAAACAGGAAGAAGAGAGGCAGCTGGAGTCCTGGCTGGTCTGTTAACCCCTCAAGGATGAACTCAGTTACCAAAGAATGATTTCCTCTACCCATTCTTCTTCCAGTTGTGATAGGCTGAGTGGTTTGGGGAAGAGGTTCTCATTAGACAGACATTGTCATCCCACAGGATTTAGTGATCCAAGATCTGATAAATGACATAATTTTTGACTGATACAGAATATCGGGAAACCAAGAGACTAAAATCTACTTATAATTGAAGACTTTATTGAGATGTTGATGCTTCATTTGGCTTCAGTTTTTATTACTCCCATGTGACATTTAGAAGTGAAAATCATTTTGTCTCCACAA